TTTGGTCAGAAAAGTTTTTTTTTTTTTTTTTTTTACTTGAATGTAGTTACCAATTATTGCATGGGCCTCTCTTCATCACAGGGTGAGTAAAATGGATAACTATTCATAAATTTGTGGTCACATCACCATTTATCTATTTAGCCATTTGTATGCTTCTAAACAACTGAAAAAAGCACAAATGTCATGGCATGTCAAAACTTCTCCAGGCCCCAAAACACCCTCAGACCCCAGGGGGTTCATGTTGCCTAGAAACAAGGGGTGGCTCAACTTCCCCACAGGCTCAAATTATCCTGCTTTCTGTGTAGAATTCAGATGGGTCCAATATGTTTTATGGTCTGCGCCAACTCACACATATGATCGGCTCTGTGCTATCATGTCTCTCATGTCTCTCCCACCTTCAATACCACAACTGAGGTGCCCTTGAGCAAGGCACCGAACCTAACCCCGCTCTCCCCTATATATAATACTAATGATGAAATATGAGATCAACTTTAATTTGGTTATATTTATCATCAGTTGTGTAAGGCAAGTATTATTTCATTTCATTTACACAGCAACAGTGTGCTTGTTGGCATGATCACATAAAAAGGCCAAGATTCATGTGGTTCTGCACATGGGAAACAACATTGTTGAACATCAAGAAAACACATGATGAATAACAACACCTCAGGACAGGTCTGCTAAAATTGTCATACTTTTTTTTTTTTCCTAGGTGGACGATAAAACATTCACGGAACAACCAGCCATACATAGGGATCAAAATGCAGAGATCATAAAGACAGAATCCAATCACCCGCTCAGAACATTTTAGCGGCCACATAGCAATAGCCGTATGTTATCTGACTGAAGCATTTGACTGGCTGACAGTTCATTAAAGTGCCCTTATTATGCCATTTCATGCAGTGAGTAATGCAGTATAAACGATCTGCACATTTTTTTTATCAATCAAATTTGGCTGGGTGGTTAATAACATTTTTCTGTGGTGTGACAAAACTCAGAACACATATTTAATATCGCTTTACACGGACTTTAAAGTTTTGCGGTTAGTTGTGATTGACAGGTGTGTTGACGTCTCTCTCAGGTGGAGGAAGCTGTGAGCAAGGTGGACTTCCAGCTCAAACTAGATCTGCACTTCACTGACAATGAACAGCAGTGAGTATCTCGCCCTTTCTTTTCCATCTTATGCCATCTCTGCATCATCACTGCTTGTGTTCGGAATGGCTTATACTATCATGCTGTTTTTGCAGTATATGGTCAGAATACTCTACACAATACTCTGCACAGTAGGTGAATTTTCAGTATGCAGGGAATGATCTACTTCTTCACCTAAGTGTATATGTTCTGCTTGTATATTAAACATTGAGTACTGCATCCCACAATGCAATGCACTTCCATGTACAGAATGACGAATGAAAAAGCAATATGATTTTTAATGCTGCAGACCACATCATATTGAATTCAAAAGTTTGGGGTCGGTCTTTTTTTGAAACAAGGCTCTTATGCTCACCATGGTTGCATTTATTTGATCAAAAATGCAGTAAAAACAGTAATATTGTGAAATATTGGTACAATTTAAAAGAACTGTTTTCTATTTGAATATATTTTAAAATGTAATTTATTCCTGTGATGCAATCTGAATTCTCATCATCATTACTCCAGTCTTCAGTGTCATATGATCCTTCAGAAATCATTCTAAAATGCTGATTTATGCTCAAAAACATTTCTTATAATTTTCAATGTTGAAAAGAGTTACACTTAAAGGTGCAGTAAACGATTTCTGAGAAACGCTGTTTTTCAGAAATTCCTTACTGCACCTTTAATGTTTTTGTGGAAACCATTTTTTCTTTTACTTTTTTTGCCACATTTGATTAATATAATACATCCTAGCTGAATACAATTATACATAAAATGAAATACTAGCCTTCTCCATACTGTAGTATATACTATTTATTGCCCACTATGTTTTAATAGTAATACCATGTTTTCTGTTTCTGTTTGTATGTCAAACATACTTGCGCCTCTTACCTGCAGCAGAGCCCCTGAGCTCAGAGCGGCAGCCCCTGTGGCCCCCATGGCTCCTGAGCTCTGCAGGGACGGCACTGATGCGAGCTCATTATCTGCACTACCTGTCCATCTCCCTGTCCTCCTCACGTTCTCTCTCCTTCTCCTAAGTTTTCTTTATTCAGGTCTTATTTTCTTGCTCTTTTTCTCTGGCTGCCACATCTCAGTACAGTTGTTAATAAGTTTTTAAATGGATGAGTTGGATCAGAGAATTTCAGTGTAAAATTGTGAATGATAAATACATTGTTTTGCGTTTCCGGTCTCCATTGTTCACATGCATATGAATGAATGAATGAATGGAGTGTGAAGTCTAGTGTGACTGTGTCTTTCTATAACTCGTGTTATTTTGTGTTTGTGTGTTAGGTTGGCGGATATCTCTTCAGTGCCTCTGATTAGCAGCAGGACGTTGGGTTTGCACTTCCATCCACACCAAGGCCTACACCATCACCTGCCCGTCATGTTTGACTATTTCCACCTGTCCGTCATCTCCGCCTCAATCCACGCCTCCCTGGTGGCACTGCACCAACCACTGATCAGGTGATCAAACAAACTCCGCCCCACCAGTTCTCAGCCAATCAGCAGTTTAAGGCATTTTACCATGGCTTCAAAATGTATTTCGCTGCTTTGTTTTATTATTTGTTGTTTCTATTATTGTAGCTTTGTAATTTAGCTCATTTATTTTTAATTTGAAAAAAAAAAAAAAAACGTAATAATACTTGCCTTACACAACTAATGATGAAATCAGGTCTTATTTTCTTGCTCTTTTTCTCTGGCTGCCACATCTCAGTACAGTTGTTAATAAGTTTTTAAATGGATGAGTTGGATCAGAGAATTTCAGTGTAAAATTGTGAATGATAAATACATTGTTTTGCGTTTCCGGTCTCCATTGTTCACATGCATATGAATGAATGAATGAATGGAGTGTGAAGTCTAGTGTGACTGTGTCTTTCTATAACGCGTGTTATTTTGTGTTTGTGTGTTAGGTTGGCGGATATCTCTTCAGCGCCTCTGATTAGCAGCAGGACGTTGGGTTTGCACTTCCATCCACACCAAGGCCTACACCATCACCTGCCCGTCATGTTTGACTATTTCCACCTGTCCGTCATCTCCGCCTCAATCCACGCCTCCCTGGTGGCACTGCACCAACCACTGATCAGGTGATCAAACAAACTCCGCCCCACCAGTTCTCAGCCAATCAGCAGTTTAAGGCATTTTACCATGGCTTCAAAATGTATTTCGCTGCTTTGTTTTATTATTTGTTGTTTCTATTATTGTAGCTTTGTAATTTAGCTCATTTATTTTTAATTTGAAAAAAAAAAAAAAAACGTAATAATACTTGCCTTACACAACTAATGATGAAACTATCTAAATTAAATTGCATCACATAATAATAACAATAATAATAATAATATTTGATGTAATTTAATTTAGATAATTTCATCATTAGTTGTGTAAGGCAAGTATTACGTTTTTTTTTCCAATTAAAAATAAATGAACTAAATTACAAAGCAACAATAATAAAATTATTGTTATTATTATTATTAATAGTTACAAATTAATAATATTTTAATTTAATTTAATAATTATCAATAAAAAATCATAGATAATAAGTTTAGTTCTCAGGTCACATTCACACTTTATATAACCCAATATGACTGCATACAACAACAACAACAACAATAATAATAATAATAATAATAATAATAATAAATCACCAGTTATTTAAAGTATAGCATTTTAATTTGATTTAATTTAATTTAGATAATTTCATCATTAATTTTCCAAGGTAAGTATTATTTAGTTTTAATTTTTCCAATTAAATTACTTTTTTTTTTTTTACAAATATTTAATTACATTTTTAAAATTAAATTAAATTACAAAGCAATAATGTGCTTGTTAGCATGGTCACATAAACTGGCCAGCTTTTCTAGTTGAATGGTGAATACTGTGTATTGTTTGTTGGATCTGTATCTCCTGTTCGTAGGAGGTGTTACTGGCACCATGTGATGTGTTTTCACTGCCGTGGATCTGTTCTTTAAAACTCAGCTTTTAAAGTGCTAGATCTTTCTCTGAACCCTCCTGAAAGTAAAGATGTCAAATCCGAAGTGTGTGTGTTTGTCAGCTGTCATGTGTAATGGTTTTCAGAGAACAGAAGCCTCATTAGTGACAAATATTCTCAAGACCGACTTTTACAAACTAATCAGGCATTTGTGTGTCTTTGGGTTTTCCGTGAGGACCAGCAAGAATTGTTTTTACACAGATATGTGGTACAAATGATTGTCCATGCCTGGATAATGAAGAATCTTTTGAGCGGTTCCCACTGAGATCCCTTACGTTAATTCAGTTGGTAACAGCTGCACACATTGATCACTCCACAGGTACTTACAGTCCGTCGTTTGTCTTTCTGTAGTTTCGCGCGCAGCGGTAAGGGGGCGTGGCTGGGTAAAGGCTCTCCAGAGAGTGAAGCTCCGCCCTCTGTGATGTCAGTGGAGAATCTGATGTTTGGGGCGGGATATTGCAAACCTGTGCCAACAGAGGTAACCACATACATCTAACATGATCATCATAACTCATCATTTTGCATATACACATAATCACAATGCGTTTAAATGACTGTACTGATCTCGACTGAAGTATTTAATTCAGTCCTGCTTTCTCACATCCTGCCTGACTGCTGACAGCACTGAAGCTGGTCTGTGATGCTCTTCTGGGTTGAACACTGATGAAATTGAGGCTGCTATGTTCTGATTAGTATAATTCCATACTACTCAAACAAGTATACATACAGTATGCATATTTTGTATGCATGAAAACACACACACACACACACACACACACACACACACACACACTTAACAGTTATTATTGGTGCTCAAGTATTAACAATGGCTCTTATTATTGTGCTCATTTATTAATAATGGCTCTTATTATTATGAATAACTAAAACAGTTTTTCTTAATATTTTTGTGGAAAATGTGATGCATTTTTTTTTTCAGGATTCTTTTATTAATAGAAAGTTCAGCCTAAAATATAATTTTTTGTAACATTATAAATGTCTGTTTTAAATTAATTTATTTATTTTATCACCCTGCCCCCCCCAATAAATAAATAAATAAAAATATGTTTTAAAAATTATATATCCCCTTTCTGTGCCAACAGAGGTAACCACATACATCTAACATGATCATCATAACTCATCATTTTGCATATACACATAATCACAATGCGTTTAAATGACTGTACTGATCTCGACTGAAGTATTTAATTCAGTCCTGCTTTCTCACATCCTGCCTGACTGCTGACAGCACTGAAGCTGGTCTGTGATGCTCTTCTGGGTTGAACACTGATGAAATTGAGGCTGCTATGTTCTGATTAGTATAATTCCATACTACTCAAACAAGTATACATACAGTATGCATATTTTGTATGCATGAAAACACACACACACACACACACACACACACACACACACACACACACACACA